ATTGCAAATACTAATGTATTTGTCTAAACGGTGTGCACCGATAGGTTCGTTCACGTGGCCTCAATAGTGGCCACTTTGTTATCCAAACTCATCACTTCATTCAAAGGCATTTATGAGAACGAGTCGAGAACTGGAGAGATGTTAGCGGCCGCTTGTGCTGTCGGTGCGATTGCATACATATTGTTATCTCAATTATCAAAACTAATAAATGTATTATAATTGGTATTGTGTGTGAGAAGGGGTCGCATCCACTTTCTACGCCCCCATCGGTGGTGTCTTATTCTCAATAGAAGTCACGTCAGTATTCTTCGCCGTCCGGAACTATTGGCGCGGATTCTTTGCCGCCTGTTGTGGAGCAACCGTTTGGAGACTACTCGAGGTTTGGTTTAAAAATGAAGGTCAGTTTAGCTATGATTCTGGGTGTTAAACAAATTCACATAATTCTTGCATTCAATTAAATGGGAAATAAATTAAACCAATTTATCAATTTGTTTGACAGAAGCGATAACAGCGTTATTCAAGACCAACTTCAGAGCGGACTTCCCTTTCGATCCTCAGGAACTGTTTGTGTTCTCACTAATAGGTGTTGCCTGTGGTTTCGGTGGCGCCGGTTATGTCACGTTTCACCGCAAAATTGTCAACTTTTTTCGGACTCATAAAAAATTGAGTGCATTTTTGCAGAAAAAGTATGAAATGATTATTTTTAAAATATATGTAATGACTAAAAATATACATTAACTTTTGCAGTCGCTTCCTATATCCCGGTTTAATTACATTATTTTTGACATCAATCTCTTTCCCATTATTTTTGGGCCAATATATGGCCGCAACGGTTCGTAATGTTATATAAAATTATTTATTTTCTTAACAATTGTATAATTATTACAACCCTTTATTGATTTTATTGAAATCGTGTAAAATTAATAATAATTTTATTCTAGTTGTCGACTCACGACTCCATAAGCGAGATGTTTAGTAACATAACGTGGGGACACAACCATTCAGATCCGGATGGTTTAAAAATGAATAAACACTGGTCTACAGAACACACATCTATTTATTTTAATCTTTCATTTTATATAATAATGACAGTAAGGCATGAGTTAGAAGTGATACTTATAGTAATTTAATATACATTTGCATACATTTATATGACTAGTTCTGGATGTCAATACTGGCGTCAACAATCCCGGTACCAAATGGAACCTTCATCCCTGGTCAGTTTCTATATGTCATTATTCATTTTACAGTCGGGCGGCTATTCTGGAACCGGGGGTTAGGGTTGCAATGAGTATATGTCACAGTGTTATAATAACTTAGAACCTAGAACTAATAACTTAGAACTCATCAAATTATAGGTTTTCATATAGCAGCATAAGAATAGCACCAACTTTCGCATGTTATCCTATGGGATTAAAAAAGAAAATTAGATTTAAATGCAATGAATTATATCGTTCAATACAAACCGTCCAATTCCTCAGAATATAGTCAAGTGACCGGAAAATAAATTATGCTGTAAAAATGACATGAATCTGTATTCGTATATTGTCACTTAAACTATTCAAGAATAGCGGCCCGAATATTTTTGATAGTTTTTGTTGGTTATTTTATTTTAATTTGTATAGTGTTCAAAATCGGAGCCGCTTTCGGTCGATTAGTTGGTATGTATTCTATTTGAATATACAGTATTGGAGTTTTGTAATATGCAATTCAACTCGATTTAGGTGAAGTTATGGCACAATTGTTTCCGTCGGGCATATCATTTGGAGGCTCACGAAACCCAATAGTACCGGGAGGTTATGCTGTCGTCGGTAATGATTTATTGTGATAAATAATTAAATACAGTATTGAAATAATTGTAATAACTGAATGCTTTGTGTGTTTTAGGTGCGGCTGCTTTTTCGGGTATATAAATAGTTTAATGATAGTTAAAAGTGTAGTAATTTGATTGATGTTTCAGGTGCTGTAACGCATACCATAAGCACTTCTGTGATCGTATTTGAATTGACGGGTCAGATGACACATATCATACCTGTTATCATATCGGTGTTGATTGCAAATGCAATCTCACAAACATTA